CAAACATTTCGATCACAAGGATTTTGTGCTGGGTTCAGTGGATCGAGTAGACGTTTGGGTATAAAGCATGCGTCCGGTTCTTCATATTCATCTGATAGAAGGTTAGTGTATAAGCCTGGATGCAATAAAATTAGTTTCAGCACTGCATGCAATAAAATTAGTTTCAGCACTGCAAAATATGTAATTCTTATTATGACTTACTTTTTGCACCCCAGCCACGGACACCATCTTGTGGTATTGCATTATTGAAGGCATTCATAAACAGATGAGAAAATTCGGAGTGAGTAGCTTCGTGTTCGCCAGTTGGTAACTCAATAATTGTTATAGTTCCATTACGATAGTCAAAAAACCTCCTGGCCTTAATAATCTCAACTCGTTTTGCGAACTGACTAAATGTTACATCTCTTGCTAAAACCAGAGGTAATCTGACAAGGTAAATCAAAATTTAGCATGAAACAAATGTAACAAGTAAATACTAACGTTTTACCTTTCCTCTTCAACACCCAGAGAACCTAAAGAATCTTTACTCAACCACCAATTCTTTTCCTTTTCGTCGGCTTCATTTATATTTGTATTTGTGTTCACACTTGTGTCCATATTTGTATCTGTGTTCACCCCAGATGCCTGGTTATTTAAGTCATAACTAGAGCTTAAACTGGAATTGAGCCTAAGCTGGGTGATGGCAACCGTAAGATCCGAGCTTTGACTGCCAATGCGCCGTGACTGCCGTTTTGGTGCAGAAGAGCCTTCAACCTTGGTATTTTTTCGTTTCTTGGAGACACGATGCATGATATCTGGATGTGTCAGATTCGTCATTAGATGAAGCAGTCGACATGTTGCACAGTTTAAAAAGATTTTTTTTGCTTTTTTTATAGAGATTGGAATGTTACACGGCTAATCACGCGCAATTTACCTGGCAATAGAAAACAACCTTTTACCCCCTTTCGAGTATGTAAGAGGAGTGATAGACCGTGCAGTAAATTCGTCACTGTTGAAGATAGAAAGTAATGAACGCAAAACAAAAATATTGGAAGTGTTATCCCAGGTTGGTAAAAAATCAGATTATCCGGCTGGCTCCAGCCAATATTTAATGATGACTTTATGGTAAATGTGAATATTTAGTTTTGGTATGTCATAGCTAAGGTTGGGGAATGCCGGCCCGGAAGAGCTATGTCTTCTAGATGTAGAGGGTTTCTGCTCCTCTCTAACTGTGCGTGACTATCAACCAAAACAATGACGTTCTATAGTTCTGAAAACGCACATGTGCGGTGGTGGATACGACATAACTTGTAACTTTGAGATTAACTAATGTACCGGTACATACTATTGCATTTACCATAGGTTGAGAGTGGATATATTAGTGTTCGAGGTCTTAAGGCGCTCAAGGCATTGAATATAGAAAAGGAATTGTACTCAGATCGTTCTCGAGAAGAAATAGACGAGAATATTGATAAATTAAAATATAAACTTGAGGCAAGTATAAAATAGTATAAAGCGTTATTACTCTCAAAACTAATAGGATTCTATGTCTAGCATCCTGCATCGGAAATGGATAGGAGTCTTTATGGTTCGCTTAGACAAACTCTCGAGAATGTAGATGTGTCGAATCTTACGTGGCGTGATCTCGAAGCGAGTATGGTTATTAGCGACGACTCATTCATGGTAAAAAATCTAGGGCGTAGACAGAAGAGTACTTTTTTGGAACCACGAGAAAATATGAAATGTGGTATACCCGATTCAGTTACGACGAAGTGTAATGAATTTATAAGTAATTTTAACAATTCGAATACTTCATGGGTTATGAGGAATACTTCCCATGATAAAATGTGGAAAGAGGATGAAAGTACGATAATAAAAATAACCGAACGTATTCTTGGAACACTGTTAAGTAATTTCCTGATAAATGATATACGTTTTCACATGTTACTAGTACACTTTTATCTAATCACGTCATGTCGGTGTATTCTATGCATTAGTGGCGAGATATGGAAAAATCCCGCATTTATGACTAGTACATCTCGCAGTGAACAAAGTGAAGGTACTTATGTCACAGACGTTATAATTCCTTTGCTTCGATCGAGTTTGGGAGGCGATATTGTTTGCTTAAGCACGGCAGAGCGACAGAGTCTAGCAAGCAAAGCTAGACGAAGTATAAGAGTAGATGAAGAGCGAATGGGAAAGAAGCCTGATATTATGGGGTTGCTGAAACGGGATGAAAAGATTTTAGAGTTGATGTACGTCGAGTCTTCACGTATCATCTGTACTAATTCGAAAAAAGTAGATGATGACGTAAAATTATGGAGAGAGACATTAGATGGGATGAGTTTTATAGATGCATCGTGTAGACCAGTCAGAAACCAATTTGGGATCGTAGGGCTCCAGATTGCCGGTACGGACTTGCGTCTCAATGTTCTAGTAAAGGACTTGGGCGGTATACCAAGATATTTCCACTTAGACCATTCTGAAATTCCATTAACACCATATACGTCACACACTAAATCTCTAGTTCGTTTATTATTAACCTTAAGAAATATAATGATCGTTAACAAAAGCTTATTAGTGCAGGCATTAGAACAAGCTAATACTCATCCACCCCGAAATGTTAACCCAAGTCCTACCGTTTCATCTCCACCCTATAATTATTAGGTAAGTATAGAGATATTGTATAGAGGAGCTAGTGTCTCTGTCACATAAATTATCATGTATTTTTATTATATCGGTCATACTGGCTTTGCTAATAAAGGATTCGAGTTGGTAGCTGCTAGTAAATAATAAAATCGTCTGGTTTGTCTACTGAACACTCGCACTTTTTATGATATTCAATTCTTATTAATTTATTTATTCAAGCGCGTGTGTTTCCAAATAATGTAAACAATGCTTATGCGCTTTCATGTAATTTATATGCTCTTTTCCATTCACTTTCTCTTCCTCACCCTTACTAATTATTGTTTAATAATAAGCTAATGGTTAAGCTACGAGCTTATCAACAGAAAATACCTCCCAATCAACCCATGTAAATCTATCGTCAGTAGACCTGATTGGAATTTGATAAGTACTCTTACTGTGAGTGGTAGGTGCATAATATCTATTATAGTAACCACCAAAAGATAAAGCACAACCACCAAAATAGGGCAAATAATTCGAATTTTCGTAAATAGCTTTCTGTTTATTTTTAACAAAACTTATTATGTTCTTTCCGACGTCATTCTTATCCAGCGAAAATATAAAACTTTCCCTAGTTGAAACAAATCCACTATAACTAGTACTCCACGACAACGGGTTATATCCACCAAGTATTTCTTCTGTATCCTTTACTTTTCCTACAGCAATCGTCGGTCCTTTATTTGTACACATTCGCCGAAACTTTTTAGCCATTGTCTTCTCATTGTTATTATTACTGTTATCTCTGCTTTCTCGGTAAAGCTGTTGTATGTCCGTTTGGAATTTATGTCCATTCCGAATGGACATATGTCAGATGGGAATTTATGTCCATTCCAAAT